ATATATCTTTGATCCTCACTATGTCGTTTCTGACCCAGCTGATCCATGGGGGGTCCGAACTGTGGTCCACCCTCCCATTTTTGTCAGTGATATTTCTGTTTCCAAACAGGGGTTGCCTCATCACCTCTTCCCATCTACTCTGCAGGGTTTTTCCTGACAACGTCCCTGCCGCCAGACCCTCCGCACCCGAGGCCAGAAGTCATCTTTGACCAGGTCACTCCTTGCTGCGCCCCGGGTGGAGTCCCTGTCGGCTCGAGAGCATCGTGGTATGGGCCAATAGCGGTCCTCCAGCCAGGTCAGGGGATCCACACCTCATGGCACTTGTGGTGCCAGTCTAGCAATCTGCTCCAGTGCCAGGGTATACCAAGGAAGGTCTGGCATAAATACCAATCTTCTGACCCATTGTACCAGCAGCGCGGGCACCTGAATATCCGGCTCTAGGATGCCCAAACCCCCCTTGTCTTTAGGTTGGATCACTGACGACCAGGCCACCCTACTTATCACATTTCAAAACTCACTATTACCTCTCCACAACAGGGCGGTGATTTGCCTCTTGAGTGATCTAACCACTTCTTTACTGAGGGTCGAGATCGCAGATCTATAACAGAGGACCGCTACTACTTCGTTGTTGATTGTCACTGCCCTACAAATCAAGGATGTATGTTTGTCATTCCAACACGTTAATTTCTCCAAAGCTGGTTTGAGGATCCATTCGTCATTCGATGTTGACTTCCCCAATGTCGTCAGCATTATACCTAATACTCTAACCGGCGTGTTTTCCGGTAACCATTTAACCCGCGGCAGTTCCGACGAACTGACCCCTTTCATGATGGGTCCACCATCCCAGTGTTTTGTTCCCCTTGTTGACAGTCATATGGGAGACTGTTGTGAATCGATCTAGCAATCGCTTGACTTCTTTCCATATTCTCGGGGGTGGCGTCCACCATAATAGTCAGGTCATCTGTGAACATCGAGCATACGGGCATCGCCTCCTCAGGAATGGTGGAGATCTGTAGTTTTCTAAGATCTTTGTTAGTGTGAAGGTTTGCTGCCAATGCCTCCATCACGATTATAAAAAGAAAGGGAACCAAGGGGTCTCCTTGGTGGACCGAACGTTGCAGCGGGATTACTGGTGCCATCAATCCATTGACCTGAACACAAATAGTGGCGTTATGTAGTATCTCTCGAAAGCTTGGCCCAATATTCATTTTTTGCATGCATCTATTTAAAAAGGTCCAGTCCACGTGGTCATATGCTTTCTCAAAGTCGATGAAGACCACGACAGCGTTATGCTTGTCCTGCCTTGTTAACTTGAGGATCTCGTTGACCAGCAAAATATTATCGTGGATCCTACGTCCCTTGACAAACCCAGTCTGTGCCTGGTGGATGGGATCCTCCAAAACCGGGATCAAGCGGTTTGCCAAGGTTTTTGCTAGCATTTTGTAGACAATTGTGAGCAAAGTTATTGGACGGTAATTTTTAATGCCCATCAAGTCGCCTTCTTTATGTAGCAAGGTGAGGACCCCCTGCCCTACCAGCTCCCTCATGTGCCCTGTTTCCCACACATGATGGTAGAATCCCATGAGGTCCGGGGCCATTAGAATCCAAAATGTTTCCCAAAACTCTTTTGGGAACCCGTTGTCAGGACTTGTGGTTCCGGAAGCAAGTCTTGACCCTTGAGCCGAGATATATGGCTAAGATGTGCACGAAAGAGAAATCTGGAATAAGGGAGCAAAAGAGACAAAGGGTGAAGGATAAAGGATTAAGGAAGGAGTGCTGGCACCTAGGGCCAGCAGGATGCCCAAGACCGTCGGAGCCATTGAGCCAGAAATAGACCAACAAAATGTCGGGCGGCAAAGTGCTGCAGGAAATTAGTAAAGACGCCCCTCCTTGTCAAAGAAGGAGGACCGCCGAGAAAATAATATCCTGAGGACCGAGTGCCGTGGGAAAAAGGGGGTCTACGAAGTCAAGGAAAATAGTGTCTCGACGTCAGCACGTGGGAGCGTAGCATGCGGTAGAGCGGGCCATTTGAATTCGGCATGAAAAGAGCCTGAGGGCCAAAGACCAAGCAAGGGGATGCAAAAAGAAGACTAGCAGGTGCCGCCCGAGCAACTGTCGGGCCACGAGCAACCTGAAAATGAGTGGCCTTGGGAGCCATGATCAAAAGGATTAGAAAAAGAGAAGGGGAGGCTCAATTTCGAGGCCTCTAGACCTGGAAATTGAGAACAGACTCAGAGGGGATGCAGTGGACCACAGAGGCCTTGAATGTGCAAGGCCCAGGAATGCTAAACCTGTAAAATAAGATCCTAGTGTAATCCGGAGTAAAACGGGGAGAATGGGAGAGGTAGGAGAGCATAGGAATGGTTAAAGGGCAAGCCGCCACATCATGGCCAACTTGCCCTTCCCAAAAGAGGCTCAAGAGTCAGGCCTGCATCAAGTCCAGATGCAGCTGGGACAGAAACGAACAAAAAACGAACACCTAGAGCAAAATAAAACGCATGTTTTAGATACATTTTGTGACCCGATTCATCCTAGGATGAAACGGTTACAAGATGTCTGCATTTTTCTTGATTATCCGAGAGAAAATCAAGAAAGGTCAAGGAGGAGGTAGACCGAGATGCAATGGACCACAAAAAGTAAAGCAAACACATGTTTCAAGTACATTCGAAGCCAGTATCGGGGCCGGATGCACTTGGGCATGTGCCGCTTCATTTTGTTCCAGTTTTGATCAAGCATGGAGGCGCCGGGGCCAGAAAAAGGGTCACCATTGCACTCCGAGATGTAACGGACTGCAACGGAGTGTCAAGGCCATGGGAAAAGAGGCCTTGCTGGTCGAAGGCACTAGAAAAAGGGGTTCCAAGCGTGGGGTCAAATTGCCACGAAGAGCGGCGGCCGCGAGATCAAGATCGCGCGGCCAAGAATAATCGACACACTTGGATGCTTCAAGAAGAGGAAATTGGGATTGTCGGGGACTAGGGAGTCCCAAATAAAATTGGGAGGACATATGGAGTGGTATCAGGGACCACGTGAGAACAGCCCAGCCAGGCTGTTGCATACTGTAACGTGCAGACCAGAACAAGAACCGACCTTTCAATACAAAGTACAAGATAACACAGCGGAAGACTTAGATACCAGTGATCCGAACAATCAATGTTGMAATGCAGCCCTGAACATACATCATCATCATCGTTACATGGTGTGAAATGGGCCTGGCGCTTCACACAGGAAGACTGCGCCAGTCCATACCATACACAGACGAAGAGGAGGGGGAAGATGGGAATGTCGTCAACACCAAGTCTTCGGCACAAGCCCAAATAGTCCCTCGTCGGAATGTCTGAATCCCAAATGTCAAGTCTGGATCCAATGTCGTCAAGTCTCAAGTCACAACTCTGTCTCTCTCTGTCGTAGTCTGAGAAGTCAGGTGGTGAGAGGGTGAGAAGAGAAGATGGACTTAGAAGAGGAAGAAGAAGAACTCTCTCTCTCTCTGGGTCCAGTACTAACCTGTGAAGTTGGCGCCTTGATGCAGGTACCACGAAGATGGAGCTGGAGCGATGGCACCACAGGTAAGTAACACTGGCCTCCGCCAGTCTCTCTCCCACTCTACGATCTACTACCTACCAGCGCCCAGCGYTGAAGACTACAGCTACAGCTATGGCGCCCAGCGCCGAAGACTACAGCTAGCGCTACCACTACTGCCTAGCGCTGAAGACTACTGCAGCGCTCCTCCTGAGTGCTGCTGCCGAATCCTGAAGACTACTACTGCCTACTGACCTCCCCACCCGTGAAGTGCATGGGAACCTCCTATGTACTACGGGTGTGCCTCTTGAGCCTGCCGAAGGGAGGCAGGGGCTGCAGCTGCAGCTCCTGCTCGAGTACGTGAGGAACAGGCTATTTTGGGCCTGTTCCGCATCCCTGTTTCCGTGCCTGAGTCTTCGGGGCAGGTCGAAACAATGAGGGCCTGAAAATGGCCCTCCGTTTCAGGCTGAAAACTCTGTGTCTGAAGAGACCCAGAAATAGGCTGAAACGAGGTAGGGCCTGCAGGCCCTCGTTTTTCAGCATCCGGGCTGAAACGAACGGGGCCTGTAAGCCCTAAGTTTTAGGCTTTTAGGCTGAATGTCCGGGACTGGCCCTGCAGGGCCCGTGTGGCTACGCAGTATGCCACACAGGCACTTTCCATTTAGGAAAGTGCTCGCTGCCCGGCAGAGCATTCACGCACTTGCCAGTTTGTGCCTGCGCTCGCGTGCTGTGATCTGCGCTAAGGCAAGGTATTTGTGCACGTGCGGTTGTGAGTGCAGGGCGCTGCTGAGGGCAGCGCCATAGCTCGGCCTCCATAGCTGGCCGAGCTTGGTTGTACAGCAAGGTGTGGTGGTGGTCTTCATGTACGAGGGAGAAGACGTGGGTGAGAGACGAGGGGGAGAGAGAGAGAGAGGATGATGACGTGAGGGCACATAACTGGTCTTGGCGATAGTCTGCAAGGGTCAACATCTTCATGCACTTCGGTTCTGCCGCTGACGTCAACAATTGCATTGTCATTTCGTAGGCTGGAAGTAGCTGCGTGATAGTAGTCTGAGCGCTGAGCGCCAAGTAGGGGAAGGGCTCTGGATACTTATGTTGGTGATAGCGGAGTATGCTCTCCTTAACACTCGGATTCACTGTTTCGGTTCTCCATTTGTATAATATCGGTGCAATTCTACTTTCTGGACAGTGTGGGACTTCCTGGCTTTCAATGTGATTTTGCAATCTGAAATCTGTCATTTCGCTATTGCTCATTTTCCTTGCAATTGATTGAAATTGACTTGTTCTTTGTCTTCCATTTGCATTGACTTAAAAAAAAATTACCTCTTTGAATTCAGACTATTGAAACTTCATATATTGACTTGTAATCATCATCGCTGTAATCTGAACATAGTTCTCTGGTTCTCTACTCGTTTCCAGATTGGCCATTGGGAAATGGTGGGAAATAGCTACTTCTTTCCAAAAATGAATTGTCAGCTACTGACCTGATCCTCCCATGGCTGTCTGCTGAACATAAGATGTCATCGAAAGGATGCACTACTATAGCCCTTGAGTCTGTCTCAACATCAGCATAGAGAATTGGTTCATACGAGCATCTCACACCTGCACAGATTTCACAACCCCACCCCATGGTCATTTGAAACCCCTGTTGCATTCAGAGCAGAAACTTCTAGCAGAAACTTCAGCAACCGACGTGGAAGATCAAGGAGACAAACATGACATGCGTTCATATTCGACTAAAAAGCCACAGGAGACACAGAAATCAAGACAATTCTCAAACACGTTATGTGAACAGCAAGGATTAGACTTCAGGCAAGGCCACTGAGCTTTGAACTTGCTAGACAGCAAAAGTGCCTTGTTGTCTTAATTGCACGATATGCCTGCGGCTTGATGCAAAAGCAATCCCCAATAACGTTTAAGAGGCGGAGGCATCACACATCCCACAAGTCTCGACCTTCGCAGATGGTAAGCAGCCGAAGCAGGGCCAAGGCCACCTGTCCCACCGCTCCATGGCGCCACTCGGATGGCAAACAGCGCAGAGCCTCCTTACCAAGTCGCGACACCACCCAAGACAAATGGAACGAGCCATTGTGAGTGCGGACACAAAGACGACACCACAACAATGCTGCATCCGCTCTGCCTGAAACCTACGGGATGAGGGTACTGAAGCTGAGAGTCGGTGACGGGCACCACCACCTCCACCACCTGCAAATGACCGCCAACCGGACCGCCGCTGACGATCAGGCGCCAATCATCACAAGAGGATGAGCGAGGGCGAACGCAACGATCCACAAGCCAGCACCAAGGCATCAGAAAGGCCCGACAGCCGCAACCGCCGCCAGCAACAAGCCAGCTGTCGTGAAAGCCCTCCGAGAGACAAAGATCAAATATCTCAATCCCAGTTGTACATTTCCCCCCCTTCCTTTCCTCATTGGGGCCCCCATGCACCACGTCTCTCTCTCTCTCTCTCTCTCTCTCTCTCTCTCTCTCTCTCTCTCTGTGTGTGTGTGTGTGTGTGTGTGTGTGTGTGTGTGTGTGTGTGTG